ACACTTCTTTCTCTCTCCCTAGCGCATTAAGCAGAAATTTGAACTGCAAGTGCTCTCCTAAAAGAAATGCCTACCAGTTCATTATTCTGAATGCACAAGGTGGTTCTACCACTCTTACAGAGTTATCCATGGCCTTCAGGATAAGAATCAAGCTCCTAAAAGTGGCATATAAAGTCAAACGTAATTTGTCTGGAACTGAAGACTTCACTTTGCCCTATTTTTTAACAGTGCTTGCAGTTCTCAGCAAGTGATGCCAATCTACATAATGCCTCAGTGCAACACTGCACAAAGGCCCCCTCCCATTCCTGGGGCTCATAATTCAAGTTCAATGTTCCTCCCCCCATGTCTACCCACTCTCCCTGTTAGACCATAAAACTCCAGATCCTGTTCACTAGTAGCAATTTATTGCCACTGTCCACTGCAGGTGAACAAGAAGAAAAAGAATTCCCCAGGCAACACAACCCCAGGATCCTCCTTCCAGGGTACACCTGAATTCTCTAAGCCCCAAATTTGAGTTACCACCGTCTTCCAGGACACTGTCAGGCCTACATAAACCATATTTCTCATTTGACTGGTCTATTTCTCATTTTACTGCTCACGATTATCTGGAAGTGTGCTGGAACTGGCTCATCTGAGCTGGCTGTGCCCATGTCTCCCAACTCTCTATTCAGTGATTCATGTTGGCAGCTCCAAACTGATCACGGTGGTTTTATTTACACCATGGGAACTGGCAACATCTACAACTCAGGACTTGTTTTGTTTTTGTTTGGTGGGGGGAGGGAATACCCAATTGTTAAACATTTACTACACCACAATATTTTCCCTAAATGACTTATACTTCCTCTCTGTGAGACCTAACTTCCTTTTCTTTCTCACCCAAAATTCCATTGAATCACCTAGAATTTCTCTTCCATGATCAAAAATCACCTAGATGCTCAGTCATTTCATGTTTTGTTGCCTACACCTCCTGCAGAACAGGCTACCGAATTTACAAGGTACAGTGCAAAATGAAAATGTGGGGTCCCTTGTTCAAAAAGTATTAAGAATTTCAAGACAATGGGAGCACATGGGTGGCTCAGTCGGTTAAACGTCTGCCTTCAGCTCAGGTCATGATCCCGGGTCCTGGGATCGAGTCCTGCATCAGGCTCCCTGCTCAGCGGAGAGCCCACTTCTCCCTCTGCCCCTCACCCTGCTCATGCTCGCTCTCTCCCTCTCAAATAATAAATTTTTAAAAATCTTAAAAAAAAAAAAAAAGGATTTTAAGACAATAACAGCAGAGCATTAAACCAGGAACAGGGCCTTTCTAAGTGTCCGGACTTGTATAGCTACACAGGTCCCATGCCCATAAAGTGGTCCCTGACCCCCTATTCTTAACTGTGAGCGTGCCCTTCCCTGAGGATATTATTTCCCATGTAGCTCTGCAATCTGAGGGCTCCTTACTCTCCCATAATTCACGATTGAAGGTGGGTTTGTATTTTATTTGCTCCCCTCCCCAATGCCCTTTGCAGACCATTCCTCTTCTAGCTTTTCTATAAAACCTCTCCCCTCTGCCATCTTGATGCACTTCAGCTCTCACCACAGCTGGCCTCCTCCCCACTGCCTCAATCCTCCTCCTACTTTGATGAGGGCTTTGACATCTGGCTCTCAAAACTCCTCTTTACCCCAAGTCCCTGCCTAAAGAGTAATAGGGTTAAGCAGACAGACTTTGGATAGAATCAGAATGCCTGGGTTCAAGTCCTGGTACTACCATATACTAGCTATTGCTGCCTTGGCCATGCTCCTTAACCTCTTTTTTCCTGAGTTTCCTCGTTTATAAAATAGAGATGGTTAATAGTACTTCACAGGATTTCTTGTATAGATTAAGAGTTAAAACATGTCAAGGGTTCAGAACAGTACCTGGCACATAGTGAGTGCTCACTCAGTAAACATTAGCTATTGCTATCATCATCATCATCCTTAATGTCTAGCTCCGTGTCTACATGGATAACTCATGTAACATGTTATTTTGAGCTTCCTGAGTTCTTTGAGCTCCTTGTCTCCAATTAATTCCTACTCTACTCTGCCTCAGCAACCCTCTTCCATAGCTACACCTAGCTCCTATAATCACCAGAACTTCTCCACCTCCAAAATCTTAAATTCAAATATCCCATCCCCTGATGACTACTTCCAGTCTTCCAGAGCACACATTTAAATTGTACCCCCTATATCTGCCTCCCATGATGGAAACCTCTGAATGCCAAACTCTATCATATCTCTGTCAGACCCTCCCACATCTGCCTCTTCTTATAGTCTCTCCTTAATCCACTCTCTTGACAATAACTTCCAATTTCCACACCCCAATTTCTTCCTGCACAAGACTGGCAAAGTTTCAACCTTGGGTAAATCAAACTATCAGCCTTTTCTTGACAGGGTTGCCAAGAGCTACTGCGGAGACTCATGCGACTGCAGAGATAGGTACCACTGTTATAAATTCGTAATTTCCTTTGTCAGTGCTACCACCAATCTATTTCCTTACTTGCTTGGCCGTCTCCTACCCTTCACAATGGCTGTTTCAGATCTTTATCACTCTCTCCAAACCTGATTTTCCTGCCCTACCTACCCGTGCCCCCTCCACCTATCTCTGCTTCTACTCTCAGGAAATGATCTACCCCACTTCAGAAGAACAGGCATGTGACTAGAACCACCACAATTCCCTCCTACTAAACTATAAACCCACCTTAGCTACATATTCACCCATCTCTCCTTTCCTATCACGATGAAGATGTCTCTCCTCCTGCTTAAGGCTAATGATCCTCTGCGCTGGATTCTAACCCACTTGCCCTGGAAGGCAGTGGTTCTCAATGTGTGCTTCTCAGACCAGCAGCACTGGCACTCCAGAACCGTGTTGTAAATGCAAATTCTCAGGCCCTACTCTAGACCTACTAAATTAGAAACTCTGGAATTGGGGCCCAGCAATCTGTTTATAACAAGGCCTCCAGGTGATTCTGATGGATGCTGAAGTTTGAGAACCACTGCTCTAAGGAATGATTTGTTTATCCCCTTCCCCATATCTTCAAACCCTTTCTTTAGGGCAATGGTTCCCTTGCCTGAAGAGCCTCCTATCTGATTCCTCCACATACATTCTTGCCCCTCTCCAATCTATTCACCACACAGCAACATATCTGATCAAGTTATGCTTAAAATTCTTTAATGACTTCTCACTGATCTGAAGATAAAAACCAGTATCTTAAGAAGGCCTCAAGGCTCTCCACAGCTCACAAGCCTCCTCTTTCACCTCTGGCTCACTTTGTTCAATAAGACCAGCCTCTCTCAACTTCCTGATCTTGCCATGCTCTACGGGACCCAACAAACCTTGAAATTGTTTTCTCTTTGCCTAAAACACTCTGCTTGCCTCTTTTCCAAACTCTTTCTATGTCAAGTCTCAACTTACACTTTCTTTACTTAGGGTAAATCTTACCCCTTATTCTCAATTAGGTCCCTTTTGGATGCTCTGATAGAACTCTGCACTTATCCTCTCAAATCCACATCAAACTTATAATTATTTAATTATTATAAATGTATTGTCTGCTTTTTGCCAGAGCATAAGCTCTGCTGGGGCAGAAATCATGTCTCTCTTGTTTACTATAATATCCCTAGTGCCTAGGGGCACCTGGGTGGCTCAGTCAGTTGGCCGATATTTATTGCACATTTACTATGTGCAAGGTATTATACTAAGCTAAGCACTAGGGATATTTTTTTTTAAGATTTTTTAATTTTGTGTACATAACTCTACTAATGCAATAATTACACACTTGTGTCTGAGTCTCCATTAGACTGTCAACTCCCTGAGGGCATGGACCACATCTTGTTCACCTTTGTATCTCCAGGGCTTAGAAAAGGACCTCATGTTGACAACAGATGTCTAAATGTTTATGGGCATATTAAATCTAAGACTGTATCTCTAATTTTGCACTGAAAGGTTTTTTCCTAATATTAAATCTGGGGTCCAAAAAATAAAATAAAATAAAATAAAATAAAATAAAATAAAATTCTCAAAAAAAAATATTAAATCTGGGTTCCAATTCTAGGTTTGTTATTCATTAGCTGCACAAACTGTTTAACCTCTTTGGACCTCGGTTTCCTCACTAGGGAAATGGGGCTGATAATACCAACTTGGAAATACTGCTATGGAAATTAAGCAAAATGACACTGAACAACAATTAGCACACATAGTGCCTGGCATGTAGTAGCATCCCTCCTCTGGCTTCAACTTGATAGAGACAACTAGGACAAAACAAATACAAAAATAAGTCACAGCAATCAAGGGAGGCTGAGCACAGAGTGAGTCACTCCTTTTAATCATTTGCCTAGGAAGATCCACAATGAAGAAACAAAATAAGCAGAATAAACTCTACTGGTGGTATCCCCCTTGGCATATAAAGCTTGGTAAGGACTCACCCCAGAGACCTCTTGGCTGATGGCCACATCTGGCTCCCTAGCCCAGTAGGTCAGGTCTTAGTCTGTGGTGCCAGGAATGGCTACCTCGACTGGAATAGAAACTACCCCATAAGGACTATGTTTACACGTGGGAGATGAGGAAGAGGGAGGACAGCTTGAATGCAACTACATCTATCCAGTGTTTTGCAATCTGGCAGAAAATACTGCGGAATTGTTGGTGAAGACAGACACCACACAACTGCACTTACCTGTAGTCTAAGAACCACCTTAGACTAGATAATGAGCAGACTTCTGCTTTTACCAAAACAATGGTCAGACTTGCAGGCAGTGAACGTCTCTGAGGTCCAATTATGCTTGTACATCTGGGCAGCACCCAGAAAGATGACACCAGGCAGCTTTATACATACACTCCTCAGCATTGAGTGCTGCCCACAAGCACCAACTTCACTGCTCATGTGTGCCAAATGTAAAAGCAGATTTAAGTTTCTCTGTTCCTTATTTATAATGTGCTTACCTCTGCGGAACCACTGGTATTCAGATAACCTACTTCCTTGGAGTCATTCATTTCAGAATGCTGTGTCACCATATGTGTAGTTACTTCTTCGCTGGGACTATCTCTCTTCCAAAGCTTCCTGGTTAAGCTCTGATGGTCCCTGGAAGATACAGTGGGTCTGAGTGGAGCTCTGGGTGGACTCTGTCTCCTCCAAGATGTCCTGCTCCAACCTAGACCCAGAATATATGGTACATCATCTTCAGGTGGAAAGCCCAAATCATCTGTAGTTTGGAATTTTTTAAAAAATACCAGCATGGAATTGGAAGAGTCTGTCCTAAAAGTGCGGCAGCTCTGGGGCCTGCTGCAATCTGTCTGAATGCACATCCCTTCTAACCACCAAAAGGCATGGCACGCAGGGTCCTGGCAGCAGGCAGCCCAACACAACTGGAGAGAGGGGGTTCCTTCAAGAAGCCGGAGGTGATTTTCTCCCCCAGATCTCAGGCCAACTCCAAATTCTGTCTTCGCCTGCTGGCACCTGCTCTCACTGGCATCTAAAAACAAGGAATGAAAACATTTTAAGATGTAATAAAAACAGACTACTGCTCTGTAAAGAGCCCTGAACACCAACATTTAAGGCTATTTTGAAGAGTGGTTTTTAAGAGGGTGGGAAAGCTGTCTAGTAAGTGGAACAGAAGAAGCAAAATAGAGTGTTTTTTGGCTCAGGATACTTTAGCTTATAGAAGTACTGCTCCCACGGTTCATCACTGGTTCCCCTTCTCAATGAGTCCGTTCCACACAGACCTTTGATACAGAACTCCAGTTCATGAAACAGAAAAAACAAAACAGCTATTCTGGTAGAAGCGTATGGAGGGATGGGGGGAGTCCCACCACTTGACCTTCCACTCACATCCTGGCATTTCTCAGGGAGTGTGACCACTATGGGACCAGAAGAACAGGTAGCAAAACTGGATGGAATAACTACCCCGCCCCCACCCCCGAACTGGCAGCAACACAAACTGAGTACTCTTAACCTCTTCCAGGCTAAAGGTTCATCCGTTTTCTAACCAACTGTTTGCCAGAGTCAGGCAGTTTTGCACATCATGGTATCAGCCAGAGCAGTAGTCAGATTACCAAGGAGTTTAATCATGAGCTGGATTCTGCTAGAATGAACTTCCTACTGACAAGCCATGTCATGATAAGAAATAAAGGAACAGAAGTACAATAGTGACCTACTGTGGTTAACATAAATAACATGGTCCAAAATTCTAGCTAATGTTGCTTCTGGATAAACTCTTGGGCTATTGAATTACTTCAGGCATGGCATTAACTTTCCTGAAGTATTACCTCACTTCTGTTTTCTTAGATGTAGAAAAGTCAAAGCATGTTCTAAATGAAAGCTGTTATACAGAGTTCATTTTAAGGTCTTAGTTATAGAGGTATCTGCACCCAACTATGGTCAGGGTTATACAGGGTCAGGACCAGGGTGAGGCAAGATAGGTGCCTCAGGCACAAAATTTAAGGAGGTGCACACTCTCAGAGTCATGCAAGTATAGAGTTGGCTTACCCAAACTTGAGAGCGAGTGCCTCCTTAAATTTTGTGCCCTAGCTGTTCTTTCTTCACCCTAGCCCTGGCCCTGGGGTTAGAACATAAAATATGTTTTAAAATTACATACAGAAAATATGCAGTAGAATCAAAACACCGAGGACATGGATAATCATGTCTGCATGTACACAGAACTGAAAGGGGGCTCTGACTAACCAAAGCAACAATGTGATAATCAGTGAAAGCCAACCTGACTCCCAGGAAATATTTATAAAATGTCCAGCAGACTAAATGTGGACACCAGTCAAATGAGAGAGAAGAGGAAAATAAAGGCAGGCTTCTGGATTACTGAGCAGGGGCTGTGGAAGCCAATCTGCCATTGTTCATTAAAAGAAAAGAGAGAGACATTGGCACAGACCTAACATCAGACAAGGCAATTTAGAAACCTAGAAAAAATAGAACTTCCTTAAGAAAAATGAAGAAATAGCAACTACGAAAAAAAAAATGAAGCTACCAAGAGCTACAGAAATACCCCTCATATCCTCATCCACCTTCCTACACAGTAACCAATGGTATGAATCTTGGTAACAGCTGAGTATACAGACTGTGTTGAAATCAATAAATGGTTACATCAGTGACTACTGTCAGCCACCTTTACATCAACTTTCCATCATTCTTCGCAGAATAATTCTCTCACATTTAACATAGTGAAGAGGTCCACACAGATGAAAATAACCTGCACCTTTCTGTAAGCCACTATTTTATTTGATTTTTAAAATGTACTGTGACATCCACTTTTGCCCCTGCAGAAGAAATTGCCATAGGACTTGCCCTCCCACCATGAGCAACTAGAAAACTAGACTATATGAAACAATTGTTTTTAGACAATGAACAACAGGTGGTCTAGGACTGTGATCCCAAAGAGGAAGGAAACAAACAGGTAAGCCCTATGACCACCCTGGCTTTCTGTATGGAAGCGTGCTCCAGACAGTGGCACAGGGAAGGAGAGCCCAAGCAGACTAGGGCAGACTTGCTGAGTTGAGGAAACAGAGTTTAAGGTGACTATGATACCTAGAATTTTGGAATAAACAACCAGAAAGGAGGAAGTGACACAGAGAAAGAGCTCCCATTATCTGGATAATGGTCCCTTTCAATCTTTGACTGAATACTAATTTACCCCAAGTATAGGTTGAGACGACATGAGGGAAATTAGAAAATATTTTGAACTGAATGAAAATGAAAACATAACATATAAAAATTCATGGGATGCAGTTAAAATCAGTGTTTAGAGGGGCATTTATAGGTTTAAATGCTTATTTTAGAAAATAAAAAAAGTCTAAAATCAATGACCTAGAGAGACACACAGGGAGAAGGCCATGTGATGACAGAGGCAGAGACTGGAGCAACACAGCTATAAGCCAAAGAACACCAACGACTGACAGTGACCATCAGATACTAAGAAGAGTCAAGGAAGTGTTCTACCCAGAGTCTCAGAAGGTACCAACCCTTTATTTTGGACTTCTAGACTCCGGAACCATTGGCTTATCAGGATTTTCTGCCCTTACCTAAGAGAACAGTTAAGGAGACCGAGGGCTCCAAGACTACCAAGAGTACACATCCAGGGATCACTGACATTTAGGCATGCGGCTGTGAGCTCTACCCAGACTGAATGGAGACACCTGGACACATTCAGTGGACATGCACAGGGATGTGATACTGGAAAACCATGGGCATCTGAGGAGCTTCTCTTTTTCAAACCAAAATTAACTGCCCAACTGGAGCAAGGGGTAGAGCCCTGGATGGAGGTGTGAAAAGCTCTGTCGGGTGCCTGTACAGTCTAGGAGTACTGGTTTGAAACGAAGGCATCAGTCCTAAAGCAAAATATTTCTGAAGGATCAGCTCCAGAAGAGTGAACATAAGGTGTCATCGTTGATACAGGCCTGGAATGGGAGAACAGAAGTTCCACAGAGAAGCAGCACTGTAATGTGGCAAAATCTTTAAATATAATTCCTCCTTTATTAGCCATCAGAAAAATCTTTTTTTTTTAAAGATTTTATTTATTTATTTATTGGAGAGCGAGCGAGAGAGAAACAGCATGAGAGAGGAGAGGGTCAGAGGGAGAAGCAGGCTCCCCGCTGAGCCAGGAGCCCGATGTGGGGCTCGATCCCAGGACTCTGGGATCATGACCTGAGCCGAAGGCAGTCGCTTAACCGACTGAGCCACCCAGGCGCCCAGCCATCAGAAAAATCTTACAGGTGAGATAACCCATTAATGTAAACAATGTGGGATAGCCTTTATGAACAGCTCATTTCCTTTAAATCATCACAAAATTCACATAAGCGAACAACCTTATAGATGTACTCAATGTGGAAATTTCTCAAGAAGGACTCAACAATTACTATCAGAGAATTCATTGTAGAGAGAAACCCCATCAATGCAATGAATATGGAAAAGCTTTCAAAAAGAACTCTATCCTTTTAAGTCATCTGAGAATTCATACCAGTCAGAAACCCTAAATATGTAAAGACTGGGAAAAGCCTTTGCTCAGAACCCAGTCCTTACTCATCATGAGAATACATAGTGGAGAAGAGCCTTTTAAATGTAATGAATGTGGAAAAGCTTTCAGGGATAACTCAATTATGGTGGAACAACATCAGAAACTCCATACTGGTGAGAAACTATATTGGTGTAATGAACGTGAAAAAGCCTTTAGGAAGAGCTCAACCCTTATTAGTCATCAAAGACACACAGGAGGGGCGCCTACGTGGCTCAGTCCGTTAAGCGACCGAATCCTGATTTCAGCTCAGGTCATGATCTCAGGGTTGTGAGACTGAGCCCCGCATCAGGCTCCACAGTGGAGCCTGCTTAAGATTCTCTCTCTTCCTCTGCCCCTCCCCTGCCTCTAAAAAAAGAATACATATAGGAGAGAAACCCTATCACTGAAATAAATGTGGAGAATCTTTCAGGTATATACTGTTTGCTGGACATCAGAAAACTCACAGTGAAAATAAACCCTGTTGGTGTAAATGACTGTGGGAAAGCCTTTGTGAAGAGCTTATTGGATATGAGAGAATTCACACTGGACAAAAATCCTATCACTGCAAGAACTATAGGAAAGTCTTCAGGCACAGCTCCAGCCTTGCTGAACATCAGAGAATCCATATAGAGGAAAACCTCAAAAATGTAATGAATGTGGGAAGACTTTTCCCAAAGAAAATTCATAACAAAGAGCCACCAAATATAGTTAGTGTGGTAAATCACACAGAAAGAGTTTATTCCTTCGAGCATCAAAGAGAAGACATTCAATAAATTATACATTTAACAAAAATATTCTGTGCACCTCTACGCCAAAGAACTTCTCACCTGTGAAGATTTCATTATAGTATGGTTTGTACTGGTGAAATAATTGAAAAACTTAAATGTCGATCAATAGAGAAATAGTATAGAATACTATGCAGCAACTGAAAACAATGAGGTAGAATTGTATATACAGCAATAGAAACAGCCCCATGAAGGGTGCTGGGGTGGCTCAGTCAGTTAAGCAGCCAGCTTTTGATTTCAGCTCAGGTCATGATCTCAGGGTCCTGAGATCAAGCCCCACATTGGGCTCCACACTCAGCTGGGAGTCTGCTTGAGGATTCTTTCTCTATCTCCCTCTCCCTCTGTCCCTCCCCCACCGGCTCACGTATGCGCATAAGCACTCTCTAATTAAATAAATAAATCTTTTAAAAAGAAAAGAAAAGAAATATCTCCATGATACCTTAAATTAAAAAAAAATCAAGTTGCAGGGGGCGCCTGGGTGGCTCAGTCAGTTAAGCTTCTTCCTTCGGCTCAGGTCCTGATCTCTGGGTCCTGGGATCGAGCCCTGCTTCAGGCTTCCCGCTCAGTGCGGAGTCTGCTTGTCCCTATCCTTCTACCCCTTCCCCCGTTCATGCTCGTTCTCTCTCTCTCCCTCTCTCTCAAATAAATAAATAAAATCTTCTAAAAATTTAAAAAGCAAGTTGTAGA